CACTTACCATCAGGTGGACTGTGTGCTCGTTTGTCACCCTATCCTATAAAAAAAAAGTTCAAGGGCTGGACGCACACAGACGAAGGTTCGATCCCGAAATTTATCAATCGAATTTTTACGTGCCGATTTTCCACGCGCTCAGCGTTAAAGAAGCTGAAGCTACAAGTACTTTCGGTTATTTGCCGTACTCTCCACCCACCCATAGCATGAAATTATTGTGATCTATTCTCTTACGCAATTGAGGTGAAGAGCCAATGAGGCCCTGCATATAACTGCACCGAAGAATAATTTTGGAAGTCTTCTTTTAAAATTGCCCAGTTGTAAAAAATAAATTTTTTACCAAAATTACCAATTACCAACAGATGTCGTTGTATAAGATCGTTTCTATAAATTCAACAGGTTAGTTAGGTTATCAATCACTATGCTAAGTCTCGAGTTAACTTGGAACTGCTTATTTGTTAGGGTGCGGCGCAGCTCTTCTGGTTTATTTTAGGTTACCGGGTTTCGTTATGAATGCTAATAAGAAGTGATTATACGGACTGATTATTCTTGGATACGGCATGAAGTTCGACAAAGTAATTACTGTTCTTAAAAACATTTTAATCGATTCTGAAAAAAATTAAATTTGGCAGTTCCTTATTTTAATGCGTTTTATTTTAGTTCTTATAATATGTAAGTAATGTTGTCAAATAATGGATAAATGTCCCATTTCTTAGGCCGCGTTTCTGCAAGAACACTCGCGGAATTATTGCATAAATTTCTTGCAATACTGTTTACTTATCATCAGGAAATGCTTGAAAAACTGTCGCGAGTGCACTTGCTACGTAATTTATATCTACAAGCTACTGTCTGACAGACTGTCGGACACTTTCTGCAGAAGTTTTCTTGCAGGTAGAAACGTGGCCTTAGTTTGAACATCGCGCCTAATTACGAACACTATTGGAAGTTGTCAACATAAGCCTTAATATTACAGTTTCATTGAAAATTATTACAAATCCGTCATAAATATCATATTATGCTAATACACATAGACATTCAGACAGATGCTTGGTGACAGCTTCCGCTGTGGAGCTGCTACCGGCTGACACCTCTGTGGCCACCATCAGCGTATACAAATAAAATCTCTGGATATCCGGAATCTCCGTTGGGAACGCAACCTGGGCCCCTTCATCGCTTTGCTTAGTTGCCATAACCTTCTCTTGGTGCATGAGCTAGGTATGACAATATGTTTTTTTACCGTATGATATATACGTCGTACGTATTTAAGCATAAACCGAACGTCAAAATAAAACTTTAAAACGACGTCTACGATACTATGATTTTTTTAAAAATAAAAAATAAAGTTACTAAGCAACGTTTTATTAAATAATCACTGGAGCAGTGCGGCGGACTTACTGTGCCTTAACCCCCCCCCCCCCCCCCACCCCCAATGTAATGAAGAAACTATTTCAAACAGAAAATATCATAAAAATGCGTATAGCGAGAAAAGAAGGACATGTCTAAAAGTTGACAATGAGCAATTTCTCAATACTTTTTTTCCTTCATTATGGACCCGTACGGTTGTAATTTTGACAGTGTCCAGTAAGAAGAAATTATCGTTACAATAATTTGTTTGAAACTTTTTCACAATATGTTGATACGCCTTATCGATGTGGTTCTGGGAGATTTTGACAAGACAGTAAACAGTCGATGACGATGTTATCCCAAGTTCTTAAAGGCACCTAAACGGATGAAATATCTTAAGACTTGTGTCTATAGGCGCACTTTTTTCTTCATTTGTTGAGATACATATACGCATTTAATACACAAACTTGCACCTTCTTTATGTGTCTAAATTCACTTTCACCATCATTTAAATTTATGTTACAGGAAATCCGCTGGCAGTAGAGTTCCCGCCAAAACACTTCTCAGGAATTATTATTGATATTTACAAGTCCTTTATCAAAGACTCATATTAGAGACAACTATTTAAAGTTATAGCCTGTATACATCCCACTGCTGGTCACAAGCCTCCTCTCATTTCTGAGTGGGTTTTAGTGCAAGAAAATGTCCGCCGCGCTGCGGTGCTCCAATGCGTGTTGGCAAACTTCACGTCATCCTTTCGAAATATTTTTTTTGTTATTTCTCAGACGTGCAGGTTTTCCCACAATGTTTCCTTTACCGCTGAGCAAGTGGTAAATCAGCACTAAAAATTGCAATTAACAATTTCATTGGTGCTGGAGGAAATCGAACCCGGGTTGCTCGCGTACTGTGAAATTTACAACGAGCGCTTAACCCCTGAACTATCACAGCTCTCTTTTTTAGAGGGAATTGATAGCTTGGCGACAACATCTGAGTTTCTGTGGGTCTAGGAGTTTTTACTATAACCTATCGAAGGTAAGAGCAGTCTGACTTCATTGGCCAATTAAAATTGACATAACCATTATCATCATCATCATCTTTATCATCATTACAGCTCTTCACAAGTCCACTGCTGTAAACAAACCTTCCCCAAGGAATGCCACAAAGCACGGTCTCGAGCCATCTGCATCCATTGACTTCCTGCATGTCTCAGGTCTATCATGTCAGTATATAATTTCAATTAAAATAGCTTTACTATGTGAAGTGACAATCCTCTAAGGCCTGATTTCACCAAAAATCTTAACATACTGGAATGTTTAAAACAAAATGATAACAATATTTAATATATATATTTTTTTTTTCTTTGTAATTTTTTCGTTTAGTTCTTACAGATAAATTTACGCGCTATTAATTATTTGCTTCTGTGACATAGATTGAGTGAAGGATTGAAAGCGTTACCCACTAAAATGGTAAAGTCTTTCTTTTTCATAAAAGTATCTATACTTCGTAACATTCCTTAATTCTCAGCATAATTTTTCGCTGAATTAGACTTCAAAATATAAATGATATAACTTGAACAAATTGTTATAGCGTTGGCGTATGTTTTAGTTACTCTATGTCTATGCTGCTATGAAAAGTTTTATGTAATCAAATGTAAAAGCGTTTTCAAAACAACTAAATAACGATAAATAAGAAACTAAATAATATTTACCCTAGAATAAAACAAATGTTATCTTATGAACTTTACTAGTTTGGTGAGATCGGACCTAAAAGTTAAAAAGGACGAAGTACCATTATGATTAACGCGATAATACCGTATATAAGTTAACTTGACTGATTTGAGCTCCACACGGGTTGATTGTGGCTGCTGATGATAGTCCGATGAGACAGCAATCCGACACGATCGGAAAGAGATCAGGTGAAGGTGGATGAAGAGGATGATCAGGCGGTAAAACACCGCCAGCTTTATGGATCCGGGCTGATGTTAAGAATATCTCGACATAAAAACACGTAAACTGATTTTAGCCAGATCCGATTTGAACGGGACCCCATAACCAGCAGTCGCTTACGACCACTGGACTAACGAGGCAGTGAAAAAAAAGACTTACGGTTAATAATAATAATGAAGTATCACATCATATTATAGTGAACGATGTCAATGTAGACCACGAGGCTACGTACATATAAAGTGCAGTTATAGTAATATCTTCTGGCCGTGAAATGGGCGAAAGAGAATCTACTACCCTATATCATCTTATAGGTGTACGCTGCAGCTGTATTATGGTTGTAGTACGAATAGGATGGCACGACCTGGAAAGGACCACTCTCTCACAGAATACCAGTGTAAAGTTGCAGCTTAATAGTGCTGTTTCGTATGGTGAGTGTAGCCCTTTTACTGGAAACGAGGCATTCCATATTAGTCAACAAAGGTGACAACGCATCTGCATTATGATTCTTAATAAAGGATAGATGTAGATTTCTGTGGACCATAGCATCCACTGGGGAACATTTGCATCTCCTTTTTCATTTTCCCTCTGTCGCCTATTACGTCACCCATAGGAGGTTATGGGGTAGTGGATATTATTACACCGCCTTTACACGGCGATCAAGTACATTACAGTCTACAATAAGTCGCGGCACGTAAGTCTAGCGCTGAACGAAACGTGGAGGGTACGCTTACGAATTGAATTACACGAATGAGACTGGAGAGCCAATCAGTGCATGCGAACGATACACACGAGCCAATCAGCGCGACTTATGCACAATCACCCAATCGGCGCGTCTTATGCGCAATAATGGTCACCGTTAGACTTTCGTGCTGCTACTTATAAAAGCAAATATTTGATTTATTTGTGTATTGAAACAGAAGAGGTTCGTGCTCAGCAATCTTTTACAGGCTGATAAAGAGGAAGAATATGCTAGAAATTTAAATGCAGTTCCTAAAATGCCAATAGGATGAAATTAAACCGCAGTTTACTTTAAAATATTTATTTCAAATGTAAATGACTTTAGTTATCATGTTAAATGAATACAGATATACATTATGAATTTCATTATGAGTAGTTATTTATAAGATATGCAAAAAGTTACAGGGAAGTAGAGGATTAGAAAAGTGAAAGTATAGTTATAAATGGGAAGGGCATCACCATGAGAAATAATGAATATTCAAAATATATTATAAATATAAATTAGTTATAACGCATATATTATATATGTTCATAAATGAAGATGCAAAAAATAATATTTTACGTAAATAATTAAATATGAAGCATATTTACAAAAGCGGCGAATAAAATATAGAAGCGATTACATGATGTGATATGTAAAATAAACAAAAATGAAAATAACAATAGAAAATAACATTGAATAAAAAATACTAAATTAACAAAAATATGAATTAAAGCTTTAAAACTTAATGAAATAATAATTTGTACTTTAAAAATATAAACAGGTACGACGTAGTAGAAGTAATATAATAATAAGAAATAATGGCGATGCATCGGAAGCTCGTAACTTATTTAAACTTTAGTTTTCATAAATAATGTCATAATTATCAATAAGTTATTAAATATTAAATAACAATAAATTAATTCTCGTCAAACTGAGGTCCCCGTCAGACTTACTTATTACGGCTAATCTTTTGGACGAAATCTTAGGTATTAATTGGTGTAGGCACTATACGCGAGGCTCTGAGCATCTTGAGACGACCGGCCCCATCCTCCGTGGCCACCACCATGGCTGAAGTGTTCATCGTGGTGTGGATGGGCCACGACTTCATAGCTTTCGTGGTGCTCCTGTTTAGAGAGCAGTTTCTTCAGCAGCAATAAGGCAGAGGCAAGAAGAGCTGCCTTGGCCAGCATCAGGCCCTTGACTGCAGCAAAAGCGATGATACCGAGGAAGAGAGGGATCAGGGACTGGATCTTCAATTGGAGAAGGGCGAAGATTGGGAGCAGCTGCTTAAGCTTCTTCTTCTTTCCACGACCTGTAAAGAAACATTATTGATAAGAACTTTAATCAAAGCATAATATAATCAAGTATGTAATTTCTTAAGGCTAATAAGGCTGATAAGTCCCGTAGACTAAAAGATTTTCCTCAATCTCAACGCTTATTGGTAGTCGGATTAGCAATCGGTTCATTGAGAAGTCTGGACATCTTTCTTCTGGTATACATTTGAAATGATTTCCTTGTCGGTCTAGCGGTCTAGCAGTCCAGGGTGATATCCTGGGTTGTGTCAAAGTAAGCTTTTTATATTTTCTGTCAAGAAACTCTCTGTAGCAGCTCAGAGTTAGGAAGTTGACAGTGTTTAATATCCTCTGCCTCGGAAGGAGCATACTGTTTTGCGTCTGATCTCTCTCGGGTCCGGTCGGATTTCCGTTCAATCGGATTATTAGGTGGGCTGAAAAGTTCGTATCGTTTTTTTATTGAATTTTATTTAAATAAATTGAATTTTAATTAATAATTGAATTGCAAATTAGCGTAAATATTTTGGTGTAATATTTACGATAATTATTTAAATATAAGTATTTAAAATTTTCTGTATTCAAATGAAATTGAATTTTTATTCAAATAATAATACATAAAAGTGAATGTATGTGATAGGAAATCATAATCAATAGAGCAGAATTAAAAAAAAATGTGTAGATGAAAGTTATATATAAACTGTACCACTGTCACGAACTCTAAAAATCGTGAGTTAACGCAAATGACAAAGTGTATGCAAAGTTGTAGAGCTGCATTAATTTCTCATTCTAGCTACATATCAGAGTACAACAAGCGTACCACCGTACTCACGGGGCCGAGTTGAATTAAAAGGCGTACCGAACGCTTACGCTGAAATTTAAACAGGCTGTCTTTCATTGTAATTCACAATGTTACGTCCAGTTTGCATAACAACCTCGTTTATCTAGAAAGTGCATCGATTACCGGGCATTACGATTCGAAAGCTTCGAGTCCACTTCCATATTTCGTTTGCGAGATTTCGCCTGGAGCAAGACTTTTACTCAGCATTTCGACGCGATCCTACGAAACGGATATATTACAAGTAAACTAGTCAGACATGGTCCTACATTCTAGTACTGCAAGAACAAGATATAGCAGGACCGCTTTCCACGATAATCAAAGGTTTTAATAGGTTAGAGAAAACGCCGTTGAACTTGTTTTGATTTCTAGTGTCGTCTTCATATGGTACTGATTGCTGATACGGATGTTGAAATGGCGGGGAGAGACGTGTAACAGACTATTCTTGGCTTGTTACTAACACTATTTCACATGCGATGTTAATTTTCTCATTGTATTGCACATATACACTGACTACCGTCATGAAATACTTTCTAATTTTAAGTTCTCTTATAATTACTAAACCGGTTGTGAGTTGCGTTTTTTTTTTTTAATTTTAATACTGACAGTTTTACATTACATTAGTGCCTACATTAGTTTCAATACATGATGATAACAAGAATGACACGATAAGATGGCGGGTATTTTTCAATTTTTTTACGTTTTAACTTGTTTTTTTTTTGGCCGTAGGTTTATAATAATATTTTCTATTTTTTTTTATAAATTAACCACAAAAAGCAACTGAAAAACCAGAATCAGCAGTTTGATATGATACTTATTCCATTATTTCTAGATTTGACAGTGAGAATCTTTTGATATAAAAAAATAAGCTTGATGAGCCAGATGTCGATGATACGACCACAACACATCGAAAAGCAATTATACGTCATTCGGACTAACGTGGGGCAATCAGACATGCTAGTTATGATTAGTGAGGCATGCGATCGTGCTTACAATTATTATAAAATTAAATTGTCTCAAGTTGCGACAACGATTAGTGTTAGATGCCTTAAAAATAATATAAATTCAAATTGATGAAGTGGAGGGTTTTTCCTTTAAAAACGCTAAAATACCCGAAGAGTTTTTGTTGTAGAAAATAGTTTCGCTTTAGGTCCAAAAACTATGTTATCCGAATTCTACACCTAAAAAATGTTTTATAATTTTTGATCCAATATCCACACTAGAACCAGAGTGACCGAAATAACCCAACGGATAAGTAGGCTGATATGGCAATAGACCGGTTATGCAGCTCGAAGAACAACCGATGGGGAAGAAAAGTTCGCAAGTGGCAGCCTCGTACCGGATGGATACAGGTGTCTTAGGACTGTCCTTTAGGGAATTTCTTGGGGGAGGTCTATGTTCAACAGTGGACTTGTGATAGCCTGTAATAATAATAATCTACCCCTCATCTTTGTACCAACATCAGAAATCATTGACCCGCAAAAATTGTCCAGAAGAGTTTTTCTTAACAGTTAAGCTTATCTCTTGGCACCTTTAAAACTGCTTCCCGGCAACGTTTTCGGTACTCCACAAATGTCGTACACGAGATGGGTACCGTGGTCTATCTGAGGCCACAAGATCTTTCAAACCGTTCCTATAATCATGACGAAACCCTCGGTAAGATAATGGGTTATGTTATATTGCATCACTCATAAAGTGTATTAATTTGTAATTACACTTTTATTTACAATATTTATTACCGTAATAAAAAAAAATAAACTAAAAGCAATTATGATATGATGTCGTTTCACGGGGTATAGTGCTAAGAACAATGGATGCATTTCCGCGCTGAACGGCTTAGCTTTTGAGCGAGAAAAGAACCAATCTTCTTACCACAAACGCCAGTCGGGGATGCAGTCCCTTTAGGAACTTCATATGGCACAAACTCTCTACAGCAAATGGCACAAATATATAGTCATCTCTTAGAGGCTCATATTACTAATTTGTAATAAAATAAAAATTATTTCAAAAATTAGGAAGAACGTTAAAAAAACTAAACTGACATTTTGTAATTTGCCAAAAGAGAACAGTGGTCTGATTATTTTGAGACAGCGAGTTTGAAATGTCATCCAGTATCAACTACAGTCCGCAACCCGAGTACTGTGCTAAACTACTTTGAATACAAACAAAATTTAAATATCTGTTTGTTCCGGCTAATCTCCGAAATGGCTGGACCAACTTTGACAGGAATTTCACTGTCACTGTGTTTTCAGCTGATGTTATAACGAGTAACTTAGGCTACTTTAATTTTAGAAAATAATTAGTATTCTGCGCAAAAAGAAAATTAAACCTCAAATTGTAATTTACGTGTACGCGGGTGGAGTCGCGGGGAACAGCTAGTAAAAAAATAATACTCATAAAACTTCGTTAATGTAACAACACATAATGCCAAAACGAAGATAGAAAGCAAAATGTAGTAATTTCGTAACAGTTTTGTACAGGGTTGCCATCCGTACTATATAATTATTGTGCATAGTACGTTTTGTACTACATTTTCATAAGGTGTACAATATAATGGTATGAAATATATAGAACATATCAAAAATATTTTTCGCGTCTGATATAATGTTTTAAAATTAATTATACTTTTTTTTTGCAAAAATTTTTGATTAATTGCTGTTTTAAGGGTTCCGTACCCGAGGAGTAGCTATCGGGACCCTATTATTAAGCCTCCGCTCTCCGTCCGTCCATTTGTCCATCAGCGGGCTGTATTTCTAGATTCGTATTAAGTAGACAACTGAAATTTTCACTGAATGTGTATTTCTGTTGCCGCCATAACAACAAATAATAAAAATAAAAATAAATTAAACGTTAGGTACTTGGCACAATTTTTTTTCTAGCTGTTTTGTAGAATGCACACCATGTGCTTTAATCTTTATACATAATATGCTCGTGAAATACTATATTTCTCTTAATGATAATTGGCAACCCTAGTAGATAATAGTGTTGTAGATATTATTTTCTATCCACCTTTATTTTCTATCGTGTCTTTGTTTTTTTTTTATTTTCTATAACTTATCATTATAAGTATATAACATTACGGTAAATTATCTTAACAAGATCGGATCAACACGCTCTCATAGTTTCATAATTAATTTGTTATGTAGAAAAGAAAGTCGCGCATGGTGGCCTGATGGATAGTTAGATTATAATTAAATGTATAAATAGGTATGTAAATAAGGCTACCGAGTAGTGGCGGTGTAAGAATATCCACTACCACATATCATCCCTTGGGTATCGTAAGAGCTGACAGAGGGAAACAAATCAGGAGATGGGCAGCAGAGTCTTTCTAATAACGACTGAAAATAAATAACTGCGGTTGCCAACTCGCTTGCCAACCGTGGCAACTATAGCAAATATCCCCCTATGAGGCAATCTACGGGGGAAGTATGTTCAGCAGGGACTTTGGCAGGATATAACGGTAACGGTTTAAAACTTAGTAAAACTAATTTCAGATGCAAAGAACTTTAGACATTGTAATGCTGGCTTGCTTAGTTCGTAAATAAACACTTATTTAATGTCTTTTATTAAAGTATCATATAGAAACAAGTAATTAAAAATAGATAGATTACAAATATAGTCTCTTTGATGCTGTTTCATTGAATACTTGTGTTGGTTGATATCTCATCGACCAGCATTCGTCTCACTGTGACCAAGACACCTTTGGCCTACCACGGTCTCGTGAGTCTGCGTGACCTCTGTACCCTTAGGTGTCATGGTAGCATCCCGCAACTATGTTTAATAACTATTAGGGCTAGAGTTAGGGCTGTTAGGGTGCTTTAGCGAGGGTGAGTTAGCGAGGGTTGTCTCAAGTCTAAGACGAACGAGGCAGTTGGCGGAAATATGTATACGTTAAAACGTATTTAAATACTCTATTACCTTCGAAGATATACTCTCTCTAGATATACTCCCACTTTATTTAACTAATATGATAGATTTTGGTAAGTGGATGCTGTGGTTCATAGACATGTACATTTATCCTCGATTTAAAATCAAAATAAATATGCGTTGTCACCCTCGAGGACTACGATGAAATGCATCGTTTCCAGTAAAATAGGGCTCCGGTTCTCAACATTCACCATACGAAACACAGCAGCATTAAGCTGCTATTTTACGCTAGTATTATGTGAGAGCGTGATCCTACCCTGGTGGAACAGACCATATTATACAACCATAAATAGCTGCAGCTTACAAATAACTTAAAGACCACTTTTTGACTTGGATTTACTTATTGTGTGCTTGGATGCACAAATACAAAAATGTCACAATGTAAAAATAACATATTTATAAAAACGAGATAGCTATATAGAATAATTCATTGTTTTCATAACTTTTGATGTATTTATTTTGGATTAATAGTATAAACTTAGTAAGTTCGAATCGGCCGTTCGACTACTGTGGTGAATATCTCCCAACACACGCATCTTAAGCTAAGTAGTATATATCTAAAAGGTTATAAAAATAACGATAAACATAAAAAAATCGGTAACCTGCTGCACCTAGCAAGGTCAGTATGAACAATAATTTCACAATATGCGTTATTTGAAGCATTTGTAAAATATAATATCCTACAAGTAGCGAGCCTTTAGTCAATAACATCAATTATACTCTGTTACTAGTCCACTGGTGAACACAGCAAGCCTCCCCCTCGCAAAGATTGTTACTAACATTGTGCATTCATAGACTACCTGCATGTTTTATCATGTTGTCACTCCATTTAGTACCGGGTTGCCCTTTTCCATAACAAAAAATTTTAGCATTCGAATTAAATAAAATTAAAAAAAAAAACACTTCAATTACTTTTAATTTATAAGGCCAGGATTTTTTGCTTAAATAACTTAATAAATTAGTTAGTTCCGATGTTCTGTATAAAATTGAAGCATCCAAAAGAGAATTCATGTATGAATGTTTCTATGTAAACTAATATAGATTCCACGGTCGGCACGAGCCTCCGACCTTTTCTTCGACCGATTCTGGTCGATGAGGCCCTCACATATCCTCTTAATATAATTAAATAGTTAAACATACAGGTTAGTCACAACTTGGCTCCGTGGCGCAGTGGCTTAGCAATGAATTGTTGCGCTGGGGGCCGCGGGTTCGAATCCCGCACGGAATAAATATTTGTATGGCCTACAAATAATTGTTCCGGGTCTGGATGTTTGTCCTCGTGCAATTTATGTTTGTAAACTACCTCCACGACACAGGAGAAAATCCTAGTGTGGGGGTAACGTTTTTTAAAAAAAAATACTTTATCCTTCACCGCAGAGCACGGGACAAACTTTTCACCTCCTTTACATCCACATACCTACGCATACATGCTTGTTGGTTAAGGTTTTTTTTTTATAGGATACGGTGACAAACGAGTACACAGTCCACCTGATGGTAAGTGGTTGCTGGGGCCTATAGACATCTCCTCGTTTGCAAATCAAAATGCAGATGCGTTGTCAGCCGTGAGGACTAAGATGGAATGCCTCTTTTCCAGTATAAAGGGTCTCCAATTCTCTACACTCACCATACGAAACACAGCAGTGTTAAGCTTCTATTTTACGCTGGTATTATGTGAGAGCGTGGTCCTTCTCCGGTCGAGCCGGCCCATTCTTACTACAACTATACTACTAATATAGCTGCAACATAGCTCTACGACGTATAAAATGAAATTTAAAATAAAATAATTATGTGGCTTAACACTTTGGGCTACGATGAAACAGAACTTCTTTTGCCCTACAATTAACATTACATTTATTTTGGGGGAAGACACTAGCTCCTGAGATACAGGTTCACCTACATTAGGAGCCAAGGACTTCATATTTATTCGTTAAAAGATATTGGTGAAATAAAACATCTATTATTAATGACCAAATTTGTGATTAAATTAGAACCAAATTATTTGCTATGTTTAGTATTAACAGGCAATACTGTTGTACCGCTTTCGTATTTTCTAGTATTGTACACAATGCTTACTGTTTGCTGATATACTCCAACTTTTATTACTTGAATCATTATTGGTTATAAATTTTTACTAGTTCGTAATTGGATACTAAAATATTTTTCAGTATATATACTGCTAATATTTATCAAATACAAACTAAATGTATTAAGCTAAACATAACTAACCTTCCTCAAGCGATCTCCTGACATCTTCGACCGCGCCTTTCGGCACTCTCAGTTGAATGACATGGTTCTCGAAGAAATCTAGGGCTGTGTCCAGAAGCCGGGTTTCCACTTGGTTCTCCCTTGCTTTTGGCTCGTCGGACAAAGGTTCAAAGGACCTTGCGGACCTCGAAGAGCCAGTTCCTATGAGACTGATGCCATCAGCAATGTCGACTTCCCTCGCCGCAGCTAAATTCTCTGCGTACTTGAGTGCTCTTTCCTGTTATTAAATAAAAAAATATGTGTATCATAACGATAAGAAAATGTTATAAATAAAAAAGAATATTTATGTTTACAATTACTGTTATTAAGATATTAAATTTCATATTTAAATTGAATTTAAAGTTAAAACACTTTAATATTTTTTTAAAATAATATGAAAACGTCTAAAAGTCTATTAATATGTTTAATGTTTAAAATTTAGTATGTATAAGTATGTTTGGTAAAAACAACTATAAAGTTGGTAATATTAGACTGTCAATGGGAATGTAAATCCCATTCCCAATACATTCGTTTGACATTAAATGCATAGTATATGCATGTAGGTCAAAGCGAATCAGGTCTATTTGTTCCGAACAATGCGCCTATTGTTTTAATTTCTTTAACATGATTGCACTTAGCACTGGCACACACACCTTGAGACACAACGATACATCTTCCTCGGCACAATTTTTCACCACTCCGATGACAGACCCGATGACGTCATCTTCACCACCAGCGGGCTTTGATGTAACTACACCAACACACACAAGTACAAGAAGGATCACCTTCATTTTTTCTATATTGCTTCGGTGGTGACCCGTGAAATGTATCGCCTGGAAAGCACCATGGCGGTTTTATTCAACGTTCCCCCACTGCGCACCTGTTCCCGCCAAATTGCATACGCGCATAGAGTACTCGAAGGAGAGTCGCTGTGAATGCAATAGATACCGTTGAATGTTACACTGACGCGAAATGTAAGCCCGCAGTGTTACTCTGTACATGATACGACAAACAATGTTTATTGTGTTGACAGTTTCAGGATCGTTTGTTTAAATAGTCTGTTTCAGATAAAAATCGCAGCAAAAGAGGCATCCACAGCAATTACAATTAAGAATGAATTTTAATTAAGTTTAATCAGTGTTTAACTTGTTTATGTTACTAACGAAAGTGGAACGATTGTGTTAGTTACGGTTATTAAACACAAATTGTGTTTTCTTTTATTTCTAAAGGATCTGTGATACTCTTTCTTAAAATTAATTCTATAATATAACAAAAATATAATACAGTCGTTGTATAATAAAAATACTTAATTTACTCGTAATATTTCTATTTATTTATGCTTAATATTTAAATAACGTGCTTAAAAAATAATATTTATTTAACTTATTGTGACAGTTTAAAATAAAAATAGTGTGTGGAAATAAATCATTAAAAATTGGAATAATTTAAAAAAAAGTTAGATTTAAAAATAGAATCTAAGAACCTGTATTTATTGTGTGAAAAACTAATATTAAATGAATTTATTGATCGTATTAAAAATGGTTAAAAAAAGTAAAAAATTCATCTAGTTTACATTTTTTATGTTGGTGTAGTTTGATCGAGAGGTTTTATATTCAATAGAACGAAACGAATCAACTTGGATAAACGAAAAAAAAAAGATAATATGCATTATTATAACTGCCAGTGTTCAAAATTTGATACCAGTAAAAAGTAAAAAAACAGTTGCCAACAATATAAAAACTGACTATGTAATTTTTTCTTTTATTCAACGCGTGCGTATAATGACCGTAAGAACGTAACGACCAAATAAATAACTCTCTACGAGATCATTTTTTTACACGGCAATAACGGCCACAGTTTTGCGAGTCGTTTGCATCTTAGCGTTAAATTGATTTGAATTCAAGTTTTTTTTGCTACAGTGTCATTGTTTCATAATAGAACCCATTTTAACAAGTAAGATTTTATTATATTCAATTAGGTTTTATTTTGAACAGGAAGTAATAAGTAAACGTTTAGTTTCATTTAGATACTATACTTTATTCCTTCAGGTCAAGGTTTTATTTTACTTAAAATATTTTTAAACTATACAAAGTAAAGAAATAAACTAATTATCTTTATGAATTTTTGTGTTTTGTGCTTTTTTTTAGGATAGTAATTGATATCATAGGTATAATTCAGCCGCAGTATCATCTCAGTACTTAATTCTTTTTTATAGGATAAGGGTGACAAACGAGCACACAGTCCGCTTGATGGTAAGTGGTTGCTGTGACCCATAGACATCTACATATATCCTCGATTACATATCAAAATGCAGATGCGTTGTCACCCGTGAGGACTAAGATGGAATGCCTCGTTTCCAGTAAAAAGGGTGTCCGGTTCTCTACACTCACCATACAAAACACAGCAGCGTTAAGCTGCTATTTTGCTCTGCTATTCTGTGAGAGCGTAGTCCTTCCCCGGTCGAGCTGACCCATTCGTGCTACAACTATACTATTTATATAGCTGCAGCATGGCTCTATCACGTACAAATTAATCTTTGATTTGGAGTTCTTGATCTGTTATGGTAATATGCCACAACTTATTACAAGTCCTCTGATGAACATAGGCTCCTCTCAAGTAATGCTACAAAACGCAGTCCTATGCCACCTGCAGCCATTGACTTCCTACACAGATACTAGTACCAGGTCGTCACTCTATCTAGTTATCATACACTTTGCTTACCGGTACGAAGTTGTCACTCTAGTAACTTTTTTCCCATCGGAGGTCAGTTCTTCGACTATATGCCTTATAGAGATCGTCCAGCATTTCATTATCATCATTATAAAAATTAAAAAAATGAAGTGATAAACAAACTTAATGTCCACGTGATGGTAAGTGGAAACTGCTGTTTATGAACACCTACAACCTACTTTAAACAAGGAATGCGTGTACATCTTCTAGGTCTGAAATGTGTTGCCTCATGGCCAGTATAATTACAGGATCTTCACCTTCAGACCCGAATGCAGTAGTACTGACACTGCTTACCCAGAAGGACGCCTTGGCAGAAAATGGACCTGTCACCTAGTAAAATCTTATATCTGTATAGAATGAGGGTGACAAACTGGCACACAGTCAAGGTGGACTGTGTGCTCGTTTGTCACTATCAGGTGATGGTAAGTAGATGCTGTAGTAGTCTAGTGATACCAGTTTCTCGACTCCACAGATTCAGTAATTCATTCTTGGGGCAATGTATACGCTATTACAACAAGGTCCCGGAAAGTGTACAGGCTCTCTCTATTACCAAGTTTAAATGTTTTGTTAAGTTGAAACTGTATAAAAAGGGTTATTATAGTATAAATGAATACATGGTTGATAATAAGCCCTGGGAATGAGGTGGTCGCTTCCAAGCTGTTTCTAAAATAAATTTTGTATTTATATAGTTTGTACAACCATTAATGTAAAATATGCTTTAAAAAAAGTCCCGCTGGGTTTCTTGCTGGTTCTTCCCAGGACAGAAGATTTTTTTCGAATTACACATGTGATCTACATATATTGAATAAAAAATTATTCTATTCTATTCTGTTCTGTAGTACGTAGAAATCAACATCTATCTTAGATCAAAAATACAAATGCAGATGCGTTGTCACCTCTGGGGACTAAGATGGAATGCCTGGTTTCCAGTAAAAAGGGTGTCCGGTTCTCTACACTCATCATACGAAACACAGCAGCATTAAGCTGCTATTTTACGCTGGTATTCTGTGAGAGCGTGGTCATTCTCCGGGTGGGCTGACCCATTCGGGCCACAGCCACAGTATAGCTGTAGCGTGGCTCTACCACGTATAGACTCAAATGCACACACCGTGTAAACAAGCACACTAGTTAAGTGATCCATTTTAAAGTAACAGTCTTTATACGGTCCTTTTTTGTAGTACAATCTCTCCCCTAAGACATTTTAACGGAAAAAAGTGTCAACCACGCTTATTCAATGTATGGCGGATTTCACATACCCTCAAAATGTGGTATGTTAGCATTTCAAATTTTTATTAATAATTTCATTGCTGTCAATGAGGATAGAACTCAATTTGCTTGCGTGATACGAAATTCTATACTCTGAGGTATCGCTGTTTTAGATTTATCATGCTTATCATCCGTTACAGACTACTGAAGTCCACTATGAACATAGTCCTAACCAATAGATTGCCTCATAGGTTTGGTAACCGCAGTTTTCTATTTTCCGTCGTTATTAGGATGATGCTGCTACCGATATCTTAATTTGTTTCCCTCTGTCTCCTCTCATGACCCCAACGGGATGATGTGGGGTAGTGGATATTCTTACACAGCCACTACAAAGCATATCATAATCATCATCATCATTACAATCTATCCAGAGTCCACTGCTGAATATAGACCCATAAATTACCTCAAAGGATTTATGCAATAATTACCATGCTTGACAGGTGGGGTATTTATTTCTTTCTCTAGGCATACTAAATAATAAAGTAATTGGAGCCTCTTAGTAAGTATAAAAGAATGGGGTAGTGGATATTCTTACGGCTCCTCGATACTAATTTAAATCAATTTAATTTAAATAGAAGTGCTTAATTAATAAGATCATTTAATTATATACACCCGTAAAATGACGGTCTTGGCGTGTATAATTTGGTATAGTTTCTAAAGTTACGCAATAAAGCACGCATAATATTCGTATTACAACGTTCACGTTTTTTCACTTGAGGTTTTCTATTTTAGGTTCTGCTTAGTCACTTTATTTTACATTTTATGTAGTGTTTTTTGTATAAAATAAATAGCGTTAGCAGATAAAGGTTTGTTGCGACAAGCGCGTTATTAGAATGTTTGAAGTATTGAGAGCGATTAAAGAATTCAACTTAAAACAATCTTAGTCCTCAGAGGTGACAATGCATCTGCATTTTGATTCTTAATCGAGGATAAATGTAGAAGTCATGGCCCACAGCATTAACCTACCATCAGGTGGACTGTGAATTCGTTTGTCACCCTCATTCTATAAAAAACCTATTGGGAGTCAACACTTGATTACAGAAAGTGTTGTAATTTCTATTCCACATGTATCCTTAGAATACTTATGTATCTAATGAAAAGTGAAAAGTAAAGTTTCAGCCTGTGTACTTCCAGCTCCTAGGCTCAGATAATCTCCCTTTCTAAGGAGATTTTCGGGCGACGAATTGTCCACTCAGACATGCAGGTTTCCTCACAATGTTTCATTTCACCATCCAAAACGTGGTAAATCAGTACTTAAAACTGCAAGTAATAACTTGATTAGTGCTGATTGGTATCGAACCTGGTTAACTCGTGCACTGTATTGACGACAAGCGCTTAGCCAATGAGGCAAGACTCTAGAATCTGTCATATGTGATTTAAAACAAATATAATGATTTAGACTTCAGAAGCTCGTTAACGGTCCTTCACTGGTCATGGCCTAATTTGTACTATAGACAATTTGCTACCATCGCCGTACTCAATCACGAACTAGTTTATTTTATTTAGAACTGCTGAAGTAGTTGCTTTTTCTTTATTTAAATGTTCTTCAGAATAAATTGCTGTAATGGCAGCCAAATTGCGCAGGACAAGATTATAGTGGCCGAATGTGTGAAGCACAGGTACAATCTCTCTTCTCTCGCTCTCAACGTTCGGTGGGATAACAATCTAGAAAGGGAGAAAGATCAGGTGCAGCACCAATAGCTTTACGTGTCTTCCACGGCAGCAGTGAAACTACGCCCACTTTATGACTCCAGACTGGTACTGAGAATTTCTTCACAAAAAGGCACCTAAATGC